TATGTCAAAATGCGGAAAACATGCGACATCATTTGCTGTTGTTAATAATTCGGCGAGCTCCGTCTGTACAGTTCTTAGACATCTGGTGGGAATATGATTGAAATTCGAGATCTTAATGGCCTGCGTTCTAAATGAACTGGTTGTCTGTTTGCATAGACTATTACATTTTGATACGTTAATTTTGTCAAAAAAATATTTCAGATTATGTTTAGTTATAAAATTCGAGAAGAAATTTGAGTTCACAGTGTTCACAGTTTGTTGAGTTCACTGTTTCGATTTCTGTATCATTTGATTAGCTGATAACGCTCTAAACTATTACTGGTTGTTGAATTTCAGTTCAGGTTGTTCAGAATTTTCATGTATGTCATTTAAATCAGTGAATATTTAAATCGCAGAAAGTAGCTTTTCAAACTGTAGGAAATCTGTTAGGTACTAATTTAAAACCAATTTTTTAATTAAAAACTTTCAGCAAGATTTTGAGACTTTTACAAAATAGACATAGTCAAATGTGAATGAGCAACTGGTTTCGAAAGAAGTCGCATAATACGAGTATGAACTGATGTCTTTATTAATAACTTGAAATCGATCATCTGGCCTGTACGAAGAAAGTTTATAATTTATACAGACTCGTTCAGCACACTGATGAAAGTTTTCGTCATTTCCAAATTCATGCATTACATGCGTAAATTTGGAAATAACGCAAATTAGAGAAATTTATTATAAGCAGTTACTGTTTTTAGAACAGAATACCCAAATTCAAATGAAGAGATAAGGGGCTACTGCAAATTTAAATTAAAATTTATATATATATGTTTTAGTTTTGCCTATATATATTCAAATTCATTGTGAGTTTATAGATGCCCATTTCCAAGTAACAATGATGGAGGAAACACAAGAAATTTATAACTTTTAGCCAATAACATAACGGTTATGTGTTCTCTTAAGTATTCATTTTTTGATAGCGACTAAACTGCAGAAGCAGCTCTCTTCTCGATCCGTTTGTGTGAACTTAACCTCATTTTGATTTATGTCCTCTATTTACCTGTTAACTGCTATCCTGTGCAACGCCAGATCCGGCGAAGACAGGAAACTGTCAGCCTTGCCACCGGCGGCGGAGAAAATTACGTTAGTGTATTCAATTTCGGGTTGTTCTCCGCGTCTATATTTCCTGTCTTGACTCCTTGGAGAAAGTAGCGGGGTTTTTCCTTTTCCTTTTATTTTCTTTGCTTCTTCGTTCCGCCCTTCCTGAATATCTGTTTATATCTATGCCAGGCAGTTGACTATAGCAAGTATTTCCTCATATGAAGGAGACGACTTCGAGACTAAGCTTTCGTTTGTGCGTGGGTGGAAGTTTTAGTTTTCTTGAAGTTTTTATTACTTCTGAAATAAAATGTCCAAAAAACATTTGAAAGAAAGCATTGTGGTGCGATAAAATAATTGTGTACTGTACTGTATTGTTAAGATGAATAGTCCATATTATGATGCGAAATCATACGCGCTTCGAAGTACGAAATCGTACTAGACAATTTATAAAACTGTACATGTAATTCGAAGCTAACGTATCTTATGATATATAACGTTATCGTATGATGCGTATGTTATTTTATTAGAAATATTTTTATTCATCGTCTACTTGCCGTTTGGGAACATTTATGTCTAAGTAGCTTATTTCACATTATGATTTTTATTTCTGTTCCTACTACAGTGAAATTAGTTTTTAATATTATTATTTCATAGAAAAAAAACGTTAATCATGCTATTCAAAAATTACGTGTTATTGATTTTGAGTCATTCAATATGTTATATAAGAAATGTACTGTTATAATTGGTAAAGTAAATTTTAAATCTTATGCCACATGAAATGATAACAACTTGCTAATTAAAAAAATAACCATATTTTAAGAAATATTTCATCATTTATACGCTTTACAATTCATATATTAGTATGATACAACGTACCAGAATTTCTTTGTAGGTTTATGAACATTTCTGCATATTTTATTAAATTTTATCGATTTTTTTTATTAAGAATTCCTCAGAGTCATTAAGATTAGCTAACTCTGCCTTTCACAACAGAAAAATATTGGCCGAAAATTTAATGAAGTAATAAAATCAAAAAAGACGCTTCTTTCTTAAGATTTCCCCCCTTCATTTTAACTCACACCTGTGGGATAAGATGTCAAGTCTGTAGCACTGGTGGAAAGACCGTTACTTAATGTAAGGTTAAAAACGGCACCTCCTTTTTTCGCGCGTCAGATCTGTTCCCTCCTTTCTTCCGGAATACGAATGGGCGTCATGTCTTGTTTAACTTCCTTACTCTCTATCTATTAAGCAATTTCCTTTGCTTTTCGGTCTATTTTCTAACCTGGTCAAATGTCCCCCAACACCGGGGAGTTTACACTCTAACAGTTTTTTATCTGTCGACAGGTGGCGTTCGGCGCGCATCAACGAATATATCTGTTTCTGCAGTTATTAGAATCTGTTCTCCCCATACTCTAGTGGGAGTTACAGAGTTCTAAAAATAAGCGAAGGGCGTTGGTCCACTTCGCGATGAAATCACAGATTACTCTCGTTCCAAAATGAGGGAATCTGCTAGAGTTTGTTATTATTTTGCTTTTTTGTGGAAGAAGTGGCACAAAAGTCAGCGCATGTACCATTAATTCAATGCACACGTTCTTCCATTGTCCCACAGATCTTGCTTTGCTCAGCTTCTGTCAATAAGGGACAAAAGCACCGACGGGACAAGATGAGAACACTTGCCCGAAACTTCCTTGAGCGCTGTTTGCCCACCTGCCAAAAGGGACGCTTAATTTCTTTGCTAATGTCTGCCGCCATTTCCGTTGCTTCTCTTTACCGAGACAATGACGCTTCTGAGAGGAAATCTATGGACTTTTTACCCATTCAACATGTTACTCTTGTTTCTTTTATACTCTTCTGTGCACGCCATGATATAAGCTCTGTGTTCTGTGTGTGCTTCTTTTTCCGATACCATCCATCCTCTTTTTCTTTAAACTACCAACTCTTCGCATTTGAGTTCTGCATTCGAGGGATGTAACTGTATAAGCATCGACGAATAAAGAGGAGAAGAAGGAATGCGTACTTATTGAATATGTTAGGATTTTTCACTTCTGTCATGATCTGCGCTCTTTGGACATAATTTGAACCAAGGATTTGTTTCTTAGCGGAATTGTTTGGCAAATGCCCTGTATCTTTACATTTCCATAAAATATAAACATTCATAAATGCTAATTGAGATGAATGCAATACATAAATTTCCATTAAAAAAGGAACAAGCGATAATCTGTATGAATGAGAAGCGAGTACACTTTGCTGCGGACTGCTGATCCATTAGAGAATTGGGCGTTTTAAATTAAATACCTTTGCTATGACATCGAAGTATTTAGAATCTATTAACCAGGGGGGCGACGAATTTGTCTAAAGGATTCCATGTCTTATGTAAGGAACAAAGCTTTCGAAACCTTAGGTATTAATGAACACCATTGATTAAAACTTTGCAGGCTTCGTGAATAAAAAAATGGGTGATTTTTTTATTATTTTTAGTATTTTGAATTGATTTCTTCAGAAACATTTCTTAGATGCGGATAGTTAAATAGATAATTGTTGTCGTTACTGATGCTCACTGGTTTGAACTATAGTCAGCCCAAGCCCACGAAATTCCTGGTGGAAAGGAGCGCAAGTTTACCTCTGTCGTTGGCAACAGCCTTGATCACCTTACAGGCGACAGTGCGATTTAGCTCAGTTCCGCCCCCAATTTTGATGAAGAGCACCCCGGGGGAATGGGTCCGAGGGTCTCCCATCCCTCTTCTTCTACCACCAGCCTCACGAGAGGACTTTAGGCTCGCCGCATATTTAGAGTGTCCCCATGCCGCACGGATATTATACGTTTACAAACATCCATGCCTTCTTTGGGATTCGAACCCGGGCCCGAAATATCCAAGAGATAAGTAAAGTTAAGTTTTCAACGGGTTTTAGATACTTTAGACGTATGTGCTGCCTTAACCGTGAGACCTATTATTATCGGCTAGGAGAGTTGCAACTCACTCGTATATTACACTACATTACTTTATACGCATGTTATTTTATTTCGTCTATTAAAGAAACACACGTTTATTCAAGGGGGGAATAAATTAATGTAATTAAGAGGCTATAATTTAATAAGTCCCTTCTCTGAAATGCATATTTTATTGTTATAATTTTTATATTTTAGTTCGAAATTATTTGAAATTATTAAACTACATTTTTCTGAAGTTTATGGAGAAAATATTGCGTATTAATATATAATATTTTTAGAAATATTATATACTTAATATAATAGAGTATATAATATTTTTAGAAATTCAAAGGAGTTCTTTAACTGATAGGTTGCTAACGTGATTACGAGCTCTAATGCTAATCTAAGCTGGTTAATAGCCAGTTTACTTAAATATTTCTCCACTAAGGCATTCCTACCCTTAGGCAGATAGTCCTAGACTGTTTTGCAATATCTAAATAATGTATTACAATCCAAATATAACCTAAGTGCGATTCCAAATTTGAAATAAGGAAAGGTAAGGTTTCATAATATCCTTTTTAGGCAAATTGCAGTTGATTTTACGTACAGTTTTATTTTTCTAAAATTCGCAAAGGGGAACGAAGGAAAGAAGTTTCTCTTCATTAAGTTTTTAGATCCAAATTACTAAATAATGCTAAATAATTTGAATTTTATATTTGGGACTTATTATCATTTTATCAATCTTGTCACTTCGCAAATTCATGGAGTAAGAAAGAAAAGTTTTAAAGCAGTTTTACCAAAATACATATGACAGAAGTTAAAAATTACAATAAGTGGCGGTGTAATCCTATCTTCCTTTGTAAGATTGCTTTAGCTGGGAAAATACTGAAGCATGTGTGTTTTTGTGGTAATATGTACGTTAATATTTTTCACTAAACACGCAATACAGCTCCGATATTAAAACGATGTTTTTTATTATTTTTAACAGTTCTGCTGTTGCATCATTATCATCGATTACTGAAGTTACCACAGAATTTCTGATATCAGCGTTCAGCGGAGCATGCTGCTTTATTTTTTTGCATAAGTGAGTATATAATACCTTCTAATTTTTTGTTTAGCTCAGTTTTATATTTTTGACTAAAATACTCCTTTCTCTGATAAATACTTTTATACGCTGTTTCTCTTTTTTTCTAATATACTAATCAGATCTATTCCTTGCTTATGTGAATTTTCAGTTGCATTCAGTTAACGTTTAAGTAAAAAATTCTTGTTAGCTTTTTTTTTTTATTGCGCTACTGGAGACCTTTTCCTCCGCCCTTTCACAAGAGTGTTGCTATAATATTTGTTCTTCTTTCTTTTTTTTTCTTTTTCTTATTTTAAATGATGATTTAATGCTTAGGAAACTTGCGTGTAGCTGCACGAATTGTCATTGCACGGTTGTGGAGAAAGTTTTCTCTTCCCCGGTGTTCGTGATTGCTTAAATGCTTGAAGTTCGCGTTCTAGATTTCCTCTTTTGCCACGTGTTGCAATGAAGACGTCCTGCACACATTAAATGCCCATTTCCTTACAAAGGATATTCTCACGCATTACTTCTTCCGCTAAGAAGCTTTTTAAAGAGAAGGGAAACTGCGTCTTCATTCGGTTGTAATCACTTTTTTCTCTCTTAAGCTGAACTTAGTAAAAAGAGTTTCGTGTTATTCGCAATAACCTCTTATCTTAACTAAAAATGGAATATTCATTACGAAGAGATATTTAAATAAGGCGTTCCGAATGTAAACTTGTCAAACAAAAAAACAACGTACAGAACATTTTGCTGCCACAATAGTTGTATTTTCCCTTTTACTGCTTGATGACGGAATGTATATTTTCTACGGAAAAGGTTTAAACTGTAATTGAAAACCAAATTTTGCAGCTTTTTTAATAAATATTTAACGTGTTTTGACTTTTCAACCTTTTTTTATATTAAAATTAACTAAAATTTTGTGTCAAATTTTATTTGTGTTTTATGGGTAAAAATGATTACAAAGCACTTCTTCACAATAGTGATTTAAATGTAATTTAAATACCAATTACGAAGTAATTATCGTGTTATGAAATCCTATAGTAGTAGACATATGCTGCTTCAGTCAATAGATAATAATATTATCAAAATATCAGTAATACTTAAAAGTTTTCTTTTGTTGTGTTTTCGATTATGCAAAGCTTTCTCGGTGATTTCGTCTCACTGGTAATTTCTTGAAAATTTTGTAAAAATAATCTAGTTATCAAATCTGCCTCCATATTATTTTATATCAATGAGGTTTCGAACGTATTTATAGATATATTTAATGTAAAAATTAACTGTGTCTTCAACTAGAATATTTACTTGGGGTAAAAGGGAACTTACGTCTGAGCTTTAAACAAAATCAATGACATTAGAAAGTTACATGTTTATCTGTAAATTAAAGGAAAATTCAGAATTTTTTGTTATTAATTTTCTAACTTAGGTCATAAACAAAGATTATCGAAAAACGGATCTTCGTAGCGCGGAATGCGCCTATCGATGCAAATGTATCTACACTTATATAGATAGATATGTTTACATTATGTAGAGTAAAATTGTGCTGTGGCATTCAGGGATGAGACACGTTTTATTTCCCTTAATGTCTTGGTATTCATGAGAAATGCTCATGTTAAATAAAGAAATAATACTTAAAATAAGCACAAAAATATTCATCAGTCTTTTTATGGTCTTGGACATTAAAATTATATTTTTTGTTCTTACACGTGTTTAAAAGGAGGAAATTTTAGCTTAAACTTTCTTAGAGAAGTAAGAGACTAATAATTGCTTTAGAAAAAGGAAGGATTGTCTAAGAGAAACAAATTCATTTTTGCAACGGAATACTGCATATCACTAAATGTCTGAACGTTTCGCTAGATCGATCTAGGAACGTGATAATAAATGTTCAAAAATGGCATTGAAGACGCTTTAATTATTAATGAAGAATTAAAGAAAAGTTAAATGATGAGAGAAGTTTTCCAACTTGAGAGTTTCGCTTTTATTTTATTGCTGCCTTAGTTTTCTTTTCGTAAACATAGCCATCATAGGGTAAATTACTGTCGAAATCTTTCCACCAGGAGAACTTGCTTTTGAAAACAATTTGATATTTTTTGTCGATGTTAAATTTGTTGCTACATAACCATGTATTGATATACAATTGTGCAGTTTAAATCTAGTTACTTTTCGAAGTTTAAAAGTTATTTTTTTTTTTTTTTTTTTAAGAATTAAAATTTTCGGGAAAAATAAACGTTGAAGGTTTTTACAAGCTTTCTTGGTTAGATTTTCCTGTAAAATCCTTTCCCCCCCTTTTTCTTCTGAGAAAAGTATATTTAAAACAACATGAATTTACAGCTATCCAGTAAGGAAATCGTACCAGTTAATTTTCAAGCAATTAAATGTCATTCTTTTTTTTTTCATTAGAGGGGACAATTTTCTAAAAATGGAACACTGCCAAATCTTTAGGACAGATGAATTAATGAATTTGGGTTTGTAGTAACAAACGCCGAACTTCTGACGTATAAATAGATGCTAAAGCTTAAAAGTTTTGTTTTCACGCTAAACTGATGCTATTTGTTGAGTAAAGTATTTCTGTGATAAGAATACGTAGATGAAGGAATTACGTGAGACCAAGTTCGTAAGACATTTTTTTCGTAAGACATTTTTGAGAAATTATTTAGTACGCAGGTTAATTATTGTGTAAAGTTTCATCATCCTCGCAATGCAGTCTTCTGAAATATCATCTTGGTTTTTCTCCTAAACCTCTTCTGTTCAGTCCATCATTTGCGCTCTGCGGCTTCTTCCTGTTCGAATGAATGATCAAAATGCAATCGGCTCGCATATCTGTAATGGCAGCATCCGCCAAGGGTTGGCAAAAGAGCGTGATGTCACCTCAGTTGTCCCTTCCCTTCCGCTCTCGTTGCTCTCTTCATCGTCTCCGAAAAGACCAAAGTCCGAGGTATTTTATGGGCATTATGCCATAGATCAAAGCCGTCGGCTTTGTGTCCGACAAGAGGTCAATGGCCCGCTTGCGGTCATTTCCGCCAAAAAATCCTGATGTTGAGGATGACAATAAAAGCCAAAAGGAGGAAAAAAGTTGGTAATAGCTTAGTTTTTGTAGGTTTGTTTATCGGTAACTTACAGTTTGTTGGCGAAATCTTTCATTTGCAGAACCTTTCGACGAATCATTGCAATGAACTAAAACTGTGCTTTTGCATTTGTTGTTTAATGGAAATTTTTAAGGTTTTTTGTTTTTCTTTCTTATCGTAACTTTATTTCGGCGGTGTTGATAAGTAAGACTAATACATTTTAGTCTTACACTCAAAAATATGATAATAAATCTTTTAAATTAAATTCCTCATCAGACTTGTTCGCTAAAATATCTCTTCTTTCAAATTCTGATTTGCTTTTTCAAACTCGGTTACATAGCATCTTAAATGCAACATTTTCTTGTTTAATTTAAAATGCTGTTTTCCCTCTTTTTTATTTAAAATATCTATTTTATTTCAAATAAAGCTTCAGTTAGACGTCCAAATATAAGTTTCTGGAATAGCTGTTCATTTTTATGTAAGTAATATCGAAAATTTGATTGATATTGAGTGGATTCCTGAAATTAAGCACTATAAAAACTAATAATTTTCTAGCCCCGGAATAAAATGCTGTATTAAATTTTATAACGCGTTAATAAGCGTTTTTATTTAGTTTGTTTTATATTAAAAATAACATAAAAACATTTTGGAAATGATTATTATTGTTAAGGTTTTTACATATTCATCTGTTTTACTGGACTCATTATTTAAAGCAGTTTTACTCTCATATTAAATTTAAAAGCTGAATATAAAAGTGTGTTGTGTTGTGACTTTTCTCACTTGTCTGACAGTAGCATCAGAACAAGCCTAAGAAATTCATTGTAGCAAAGAGAGTGCAAGTTTGCGCCTGTGGTTGTCAAAAGCCTTGAGCACCATATGGTGACAGTATGACTTCTCTCACTTCCGCCCCCTGTTTTGATGGAGAGCACCCCGAGGGAACGGGTCCGAGGGTCTCCTATCCCTTTTCTCCTACCATCAACCTCCCGAGAGAACTTTCGGCTCACCACATAATTAGAGTGCCCCCATGCCGCACAGACGCTATACATTTACAAACATCCATGCCTTCTTCCGGGATTCGAATCCGGGCCATTCGATACCGCAATAAGCTCAGCTAACCACTATACCGTTTGGGCTGCTGAATGTAAAAGTTGATATCAGAATGAAATTGATAATTATCTTGAAATGGTTTGAAGGATATGGCAAATTCCTGCTTCGTGAGATAGAAATAATTTATTTCGTTACAGGTGAATTTGTAGATCTTATAAATATTAATTTAACAGATTTTTTAAATCTTAATTAAAAATTTTATCATATTACGAAAAATAAGGTTAATTGAGATTGATTATTACATGTCTGTTTTTGTATACTTAAGCAAATCAAAGTCTAGAAAATGGCATTGTTTTTATTGTCTCCTCAATTTCTTTCAGTTATCTTAATTAAAAGTCATTAGTCACGAGATATCAGATAGTTGAATGCAAGCTTTGCTGATAATTTCGCAAAATCTCAGCATTAAAAAATTTTCAAAATGCTGATATAAAAAAGTGAATATAATCTGCCGATATTTTGCGAAATAATAGTTTCGAACACTTTGATTTTTTTATTTTTAAGATTTAGATAACCAATCCAAAAAATTAGTGATTTAGGAGACAGCAACTGTATTTAAAAGAATACGAATTCCTTATGCAACATTAAATATTAATTTTTTTCCAAAAAATCAATTTGGCCCTTAATGGAAAGTTTTTTTTATGTGAAAGCAGCTACCCAAGGTATTGATTAAACAATGTCAAAAGTCTTCTAAATTTTTGTCATCATTTTAACGTTTTCTGACTGCTAATCTTTAACAAAGAAAAGGTGCTTTTAAAATAACATGCAAAATAATCTGTTAAGATTTTTTTAACTAACGTGAGCACTTTAAAGTTTATCCCATTCTACGCCAAATTTCTACTTTAGGCAATTAGA